ACTGGAAATAATACAAAGAAAAATGTAAAACAAATGCACTGAAAGGAAGGCTCACCCATAATTTCCTTGGGCAAAAATGTGGATCTTTGTATGTCACCAAGGGAATGTTCGTAGTTCTAGTAACTACATAATATTCTGCCTTTGTCTCTCTAAATCTGTGACAAATGATAGAAAGCAGAAGGAAAGCGTGGGGATAAAGAATAGGACTAGGCACAAAAAGCTATATATTATAATGAAGGTGAATTAAGACTATATCTGGGCTATTATTATGTGTGTGGTGAAAATAATTCATTACAGGTCTTCAGAGTATGAAGTGGGAACAGTTGTGCTGGAATCAAACTGAGGCAAGCGTATGAAAACTGGGCTTTGCCTGTTTCAGGGGCTACAGTATACATGTACTGTCACATTGATGCTGTGTAACACAACCTCTGATGTAGTTTAAGCTTGAAGGTGGTGACTGTTGAGTTAGGACTGGGCAGCAAAGTAGACATGGGTTAGGTATATGCAGAAGTAACATAATTCCTATAATAAAGAATAGTATAAATTGTCTTTCTGATGTCATTGTATTGGTTGTTCACATGTAAACGAGGTGAAACAGGCCAACATGGAGAAATAAGCTCATTCTACCCACCATGCTTCCAAGTTGCTCCTTGAGCGTTAGCAGCAGAGTGGGAGAACTTTCCACCATCTGCCTGGAAGGGAATGAACTGGTAAGTCACACACCTGGTCCTGGCAAAGGGTTGAGCTGATCTACATGAGAAGGACCTTGTCTTTGTGTGTATAGGGGGGCTGGGTAGGGGAATTCCCTGGGTAAGTGTGAGTATAGACTTGAGAAATAGAATGTAGGAAGTGCTTCCAGTTATGTCCATGGAAACTTCTCAGAGAGGCTAGGGGCTGAAACACTGTTGTCCTTTTATGATGGTTTTCTTAAGACAAACCTTGGAAGTTTCCTAGAAAAAGAATTGCTGGGTGAGTTCAGTCAAACTTAGGAAGAAATAAGGAGTAGAATGTGTTCATTTGTAATGTGCTCTTTGGACTGTTGTTTTGTTTCCATTTTTATATTTATAAGCTCATTTGGGTGCCATGGTTACATGTTAGAAGAATAACAAGGTTAAACATACTTTGTGTTAATCATAATGTCTGATTTTTAAGACCAGGCAAGATAAAAGGTCTTAAGAATATGACAATCCTTGTCTCTAGGGTAGTTGCTGACAATAATCTTCTAAGAATAAGAATCTTATTTGTTCAGTTCACCGTTATAGCTCCATTCTGGCACTGAGTATGTTTTTGTAAACATTTAAGTTCAGTGAATTTTCTTTTATATACCTAGAATCAAAACAAAAGTAAGCTCTTCTTGCCCCATAGGGGCATGAAAGACCAAATGTTATTTAATTGCAATCCCATTCAAAAACTTATTTGATACAATATTGTAAAGTAATTAGCCTCCAACTAATAAAAATAAATGGAAAAAAAAAAGATATTCTAAAAGTTAAAAAAAAAAAACTTATTTGATGGCTAATTACAAAAGAAGTCCAGAAGGGGAAGAGGCTGGTAGACATGTGGAGGGCAGAGTGCCTTCACTGCTCCTAGAATGCCTAGGGTTGTACCTCCATGTTGGTGTGATCATTCACTACAAGCCAGGGATGATCTTTGCTCATCTTTGTTTTGCTGCCAGAGAAAATAGAAACCAAGGGTTGCAATGTCTGGCCCTTGAGAGAAAAGGCTATTCAAAGGGTAAAACACTTGGGTTCTACAACATGTGGACAGAGGGAAGATCCTTGGGTTCCCAACTCTCCACAGGAAACCCAATCTCCCTTTTTTTCAAGCAAGATTGGCTGTAATTTCTTAAAATTCTAACAGAGTCAACTGAGGGTTCCAGTCTCTAGTTAAATGAGTATATGTTCCTCTGCTAAGACAAAGGTCCTATCTGAATATACTGGAAGAAGCACAGGGTTTTCTGTTTGGAGGAGCCATGGCAGGGACCCAGTCCACTTTGGGAGGTATGAAGTTCGATATTTGAGAACGTCTCATCTGGCTTCAGAGAATACCAATGTGAATGAAACACAAAGCTGGCAGGGCAGGGTTCTGATGGAAATGCCAGAAAAAAAAAAAAAAATTATGATTTGCGTTCAGGTTGGACTATCCTTTTGTCACTTCCCATCAGGTTCTGTAGTGCATCTAATAATTCTTTGATTTAATAGGCATAACCAAGTCACTGGGTAGCTTGTGGAGAGAGAATAGTGTGACTTGTCAAAATGGAAATCTTACCAAACACGCTTAACCATCACACCGTCTTGATGGTTTTATGTTATGGAGTTGCAAGGGGTTGATCTGATTTTTAGAGGTGGATTCCTACTTCTTTGATTTTCAGAAATAAAATACATTCTAAGCAAGTACATAATATTAGAAAAAGGTATAGCTGCTAAGATGTTAAGCATCACTTTGCTTTGGAACAGTTTCAACATGAATGCTGATCTGCACAGAAATACATTTAAATGGTGCCTAGGATTACCCTTTCAGAGTGTGAAATTAAAACATTATTGGGTATATGTATAAGTATATACAGTATTTCAAGTGCTGTTTTATGTGATTTCCACTCATTTTTAATTTAATTTAAATCTTCAATACCCTCTATGAATTAGCATTATTTCCCCATTAGTAGAAAGGAGGTAAAGACTCAGACACAATAACTTACCATCAACACTTATTAGGAAATTATATTTTATTATGATTTTCATATGTACCAGAATCAAATATATACATCTCTTACATATGAAATATCTTTCTTTTAACATATACAGACTTATTCAGTTAAGGTTTTCTGCAAGGGAAAAATGAAAACAAACTCACATTGCCTTAGCCTCTGTTGCTTAGAAACAAAAAGCTGGTGAAAACTATTAAGTTGGTGCAAAAATAATTGGGGTTTTGCATTGTTGAAATTTACCATTTGATATTGCGATACATTCTCAAGTGTGGTTATTTTATACATCATTGTAATGTACATATATATTGTTTTATGACTTTTTGCTAGTTATTACTTGCTGTTTATTTTAGATTATATAACTAATGTTAGACAAAAAGTAAATTCAAGGGACTTTTTTATTCAAGTTCAAATGAGTCTTCAAGCAGCAGAGATAACCCACAACATCAACAATGCATTTGACCCAACTGCTAACAAATGTACAATGAAGTGGTGATCAAGTTTTGCAAAGGAGATGAGTGCCTTGAAGATGACGAGCATAGTGGCCAGACGTCAAAAGTTGACAGCAACCATTTGAGAGGATCATTGAAGCTGATCCTCTTAGAACTACACAGGAAGTTGCCAAAGAACTCAGCATTGACCATTCTATGGTCATTCGCATTTGAAGCAAATTTTAAAGGTAAAAAAAGCTCAATAAGTGGGTGCCTCATGAGCTGACTGCACATCATCGTTTTGAAGTGTCATCTTCTCTTATTCTACACAACAACAAACCATTTCTAGATCAGGTGACATGTGATGAAAAGTGGGTTTCACAGACAACCAGTGAAGACCAGCTCAGTGGTTGGACCGAGAAGCTTCAGATCACTTCCCAAAGCCAAACTTGCACCAAAAAAAAGGTCATGGTCACTGTTTGGTGGTCTGTTGCCAGTCTGATCCACTACAGCTTTCTGAATCCTGGCAACACCATTACATCTGAAAACTAGGCTCAGCAAACTGATGAGATGCGCTGAAAACTGCAGCATCTGCAGCCAGCATTGGTCAATAGAAAGGGCCCAATTCTACTCCACAACAACACACGACCACACTTCACACAACCACACATCACGCAACCACACTACAAAAGTTGAACAAATTGGTCTATGAAGTTTTGCCTCATCTGCCTGATTCACCTGACCTTTCTCCAACTGACTACCACTTCTTCAAGCATCTTGACTACTCTTTGCAGGGAAGACAATTCTATAACCAGCAGGAGGCAGAAGATGCTTTAAAGAGTTCATCCAGTCTTGAAGCACAGATTTTTACACTATAGGAATAAACAAACTTACTTCTCATTGGCAAAAATGTGTTGATTATAATGGTTCTTATTTTGATTAATAAAGATGTATTTTAGTCTAGCTATGATGACTTAAAATTCACAGTGTATAACTGCAGTTATTTTTGTACCAACCTAATACAGTATTCCAACCAGCTTTAACAATGTGTGTTAGTCGCTCAGTCGTGTCCAACTCTTTGCGACCCCATGGACTGTAGCCCGCCAGGCTTCTCTGTTCATGGAATTCTCCAGGCAAGAATACTGGAGTGGATTGCCATTCCCTTCTCCAGAGGAACTTCCCAATCCAGGGATCGAACCCTGGTCTCTTGCCTCACAGGTAGATTCTTTACTGTTTGAGCTACAGGGGAATTTACAATAGTGGATATATTAAAAGGCTATAGAGAGATATCCTATAGAACTTAATAAGAGATATGTACCTGGGTGGTCCAAATTAATTCTAACCAGATAACCAGAAACTCCGTTTCTTCATCTCATTTTGCTCATCTGCTTCTCTTGCTGTGGAACAGATTTCTCTTTCCAAGTTCATGTTAGGAAATGGCCACCATCAGTGATCCCATGTTTATATCCACTCAGATAAAATCAAGCCCATTTTCACTAGAGATGGCCTCTGGTCCAGGTGTGAGCATGTGACCCATGTTGAGTGGATTGATCAATGGCCAGAGGTTAGTGGCCTATATATTAACAGTTACTTCCACATAATCACACAAGATGAACAATTGTGAGGAAACCAGTCAGGTATGGGGGACCCAACAGTTGGTTTCTTCTGCAGAGGGTCCAGTCAGATACTAAGTTGAAAATGTTGGTCAGAATCTAAGCAAAGAAAAATTCCAGCTCTATGTTCTCCACCAAACTTATATCTGATTCAGTTTCTAGGTGACTGAAACCATAAAAAGCATTGTCAGAAAATTATTTCACTTACATCTGTGGTAGAAATTGAAAAGGTAGGCAAAAATACTCCCCACAGTTTCATCTTGAAATTTCTATGCTACCAGGTGAACCAAATGAGATCCACAGAACTCTAAGGCATCTTTGAAGTTGTCTGGTTTTCTCAAGGGCCTGAATTCCTGAACCCAAGTTGGAGTGGTTAAAGAGGCAGTGCGTCAGCAAGCTCCATGTTCGATTTCGTATTTGCTTGGTCTTCAGGCCATAGATGATGGGATTCAAGGTTGAAGGGATAATCAGATACAAGTCAGCTAACAGCACTTGGGTGCTCAAAGGCACTATGTCCTCCCCCATCCAGGCCACATAGATGGATGCCATCCCAGGTAGGTAGTACAGAGCCATAACCCCTACATGGGAGCCACATGTGCTTAATGCTTTCAACTGAGCATTCTTTGAGAGAGCAAAAACTGCCTGGAGAATCAGGATATAGGAGGCAGCAATAAACACCACATCAGAACCCACAATAATGGAGGAACCAATCAGACTGTAGAGACTACTGGGCCTGGGGTCGGCACAAGCCAACTTGGCCACAGCGATGTGCTCACAGTAGGAATGGAGAACCACATTGGAGCCACAGAAAGGCAGATGACTCACCATCCAGCTCAGTGGAGTCATTGATGTAGTCGCTCTGATGGTGATGGTCGCACTTATTCCCAGCATCACTCGAGGTGTGAGTATTCTCTTATAGTGTAGGGGCTTACAGATGGCCACGTAGCGGTCAAAAGCCATGGCCAGCAGCAGCCCTGTCTCCACAGCTGTGGCTGCATGGACAAAATACATCTGAGTGAAACAAGCATTAAAGCTGATGGAGTTGTCCTCTGAGGAGAAGATGCTCACCATCTTGGGCACCACCGAGGAGGCCATAACCATGTCCACTGCAGCCAGAATGCACAGGAAGCAGTACATGGGCTCCTGTAGCGTGGAATCCATCCAGATGACAGTCACTATGAGGGTGTTTGCTAACAGGGCTGTGTTATACATGACGCTCAGTGAGATAGCCAGCCAGAGATGTGAAGACTGCAGACCTGGGATACCCACCAGGATGAAAGTGGAAGGGGCTTCCGTTGTATGGTTGTAGGGTGACCCCAGCATCACAGATGAGACTGCTTTCCTGTTAATGTATAAAATTAGGTAAGAATGCAATCCCAGAAGACTTGTTCCCAGCTCTGGTGTTAGGAGAGCCTGATTATATTCTCAATTCAGTGCGCCACAGGATGAAGGAATCTACATGTGACAAAGTTATCCTATTCCCCCTTACATCCTCCTCAGTATTCTTTGCCTTACTAATCTCTATTCATTCTTCAGAAGTCTGCTCATGAACTACCTCCTTTGGAAAGTCTTTTCTTCTCTACCACCTCCCCCAACCCCTGCCAGAACTAAATTAGGTAACTTAGGAACTTATGGAATCTCCTATACTGACCTCTGAGGGATCTAAATTGACCACTCCAGTACTCTACCTGGGACTTCATTCAATTATGTGTGTCTTGCCCATGGCCTTATAACTTGTACCAAGTATGTGACCCAGAGTTCTGTTGCCCAGATCCATTAAGAAGAGATATGTGTATTCATCATAGCAAACAGTTGAATGAATGAGAAATCAGAGGAAAAAGTTTTTTTCTTATCTCCGTATGGTAAGTTCCTAATATTTAATCATTGTTGAATGAAACAATGAACTTCCTGAGGTTGAACACATCGCATACTGCATCTTTTCCTTCCTCAAATGCTTACTGCCCTAATACTGGATCTCTCAAGGCCTCAGGCTAGTGGGTAAACACATGGATATTGTGTGACTATTTTGACTTTACAATACTCAAATAAAACCCAAGAACTCTATCCCAGGTGTCCAGGCAACCTTAAATAAAGAGTGCTTACTTGCCAAGTCTTAAGACTAGACCGCTGTTTATAACATCCTGTCCGTCCCCTCAGGAAGAGGCTTTCAGGCTGAGACCTTTCCATATCCTTGGACACTCTTTACTTGATTCTTTCTGATTGTTTCTCATTAGGCTTGGATTCTTCCTGAAAAATTCATCAATCAGATAGACAGTACTGGCCTCAGAATCCCATCAGCTACTGTAGCATGTTCTCCTGTTAACCAAGCATGTTAATCAAATGTTAGACCAACATTTACGTGGTTCTCAATGCTAACCATATGACATGCATTTGCCCCTTCCAGTAGCTGCCTGGAGAGCCTACCACTGATTGACCCCACACCTAGCTACCAACAGCAGCCTTTACAAGAGACCTCATACGTTTTTTAAAAAGTTAAATTTCTAGAATATGATTGCAAACCATGGTCTTCATTGAAACAAACAAAATGCTAAACATAAGAAATGCCTTATAATGGAACAGACTGAATAAAGTAATTGTTGTTCAGTTGCTAAGTTGTTTCCGACTCTTAGTGACCCCATGGACTACAGCTTGTCTGGCTTCCCTGTCCTTCGCTATCTCCAGGAGTTTCCTCAAACTCATGCCAGTTGAGTTGATGCTACCCAACCACCACATCCTCTGTCTCCCCCTTCTCCTTGCTCCCTCAATCTTTCCCAGCATCAAGGTCTTTTCCAGTGAGTCAGTTCTTCATATCAGGTGGCCAAACTATATGTTTTCATGGTCAGAGAACCTTGCTGTGTCTAGCCACTGGGTAATAGATCATGAGAGGAGAAGGGAAAGCCTTTTGAAATAGACTGATAGTGCAGACTGAAAAAGACTTATTCAGTACATCTTTAAGATTGCTGTGTGTTTCCTGGATGCCACAGACTCAAGGTTAAGCATTATCCCTTAAAGAATAAAAAACGAGGTTGAGGAACCCTACTGCCTCCTCCTCCCACCCACCTCTGATCCCAGATCTTTCCCTCTGCATCCCTGCTCTGTATAAAGCCACCTTTCTTCTGAGAACAGTCTCAGCTGGTGCCTGCCCAAGTCTCCAACTTGTAGCAGGTCCTACCTTTCATTCCCTTGAGGCTTCATTTCCCTCATTACTTTTTCTTCTTGATTAGCACTGCTAGACATTTATATATCTTGTTAGTCCTTTCCAATGACATTTGGTCTGGTTGGTCCTTTTTTCTTATTATTTTACTCTTCAGTCTATTGCTACTGAAAATTTTTTTGCTAAGACCAACAATGATCTCTATCAGTGACATGTTGATAGGATGTTTTCAATCCATCAACACTTTTCACTGTTTCAATCCAGTGCTCTCAGTCTTAAATTTTACTTACCCTATCCAAAACATTTAACGTTACTGCTTGGTCTCATATTTGGGGATTAGTTTTTTATTGAAATATACATACTGTAAAATGGACAGTTGATAAAATTTTATCTGTGAGGACATAAGCATAACCCATGGCTACTATCCAGATCAAGATATACAATTGCTTCCTGGTTCTTGAGGTGCACTCTTCTTCGTGTTATGGCCAAGTTTTTCTGAAACATTTCCAGCCCACAACCTGCCTCTGCCTGCAACTCTACAGAGACATTCACATGATGAGCTGGAGAGTGAATTACTAAAGAAGAACTTAGACAATCATTTAATTCAATAATGAAATTGAAGAATAGGTGAGAATTATTTTTCCTATTTAAAGGATTGAAAATACTCAATTCAAACAAAGATTGTCTTAAAGGTAAAAGCAGGAATGCATAATTTACTCAAATGAAGCCTTTGTGTTTATGATAAACCAATGCCTCCCCTCTCTAGGACAAAAAGCACTTGCTTCCAATAAGCCCTACTGTTCAGTTTCTATTCTCTCAAATTCCCCTGGTCCTTGAAAACGCTGTCTCGATTATCACAAAGTTAGACTAACCCCTTCCTCTCTCAGCTTTAAATCAAAATAGTCGTGTGTTCCTGTTCCTGTTCTCTCCCCAGTTGTCCCATGATTTCCAGGATGTGAACTTGCTATCAGCAGTACCCACGAGCCCTGGCTAGCCCATTTTAGTAGGGTTGAGAGCTTATATCCTCCTATCTAGGATGGCTCTGGCTTTGAGACTTCAAGCCCAACACCCAGTCCCCAGGTCAGTTACCCACATCCCTGGAATTTTCTCTATTTGACTTCCTCTGGTTGTCCACATTTCTTCCACTCAAAAGAAAGGGGATTTATATAAGATCCTTCAGGACAAGCAATATGAGATCATATATAAACAACATGGATGCATGGTGAGGAGTTTTGTCATTTTCAGAGACCTCCCATTAAGAGTCCTCTTCCCCCTGTAGATTCTCTATCACCCTGCTTTTCCCCTGGACACCCCAGCTTTCCTTGGCCTCTGCCCAGCAGCCAAACACTGTAACTTCTCCAGAGACAGATTTTTGTTTGTGCTCTGGTCCCCAGAGTGTTCCAGATTGTAGGAACAGGCAGATGCCTAATGGTTAAAGAGTCTTTGTTTCTCCAGATCCTCAGAGGATACTTAAGAGTTAGAAGAATATAGAGTATATTCTGAAAGGAAAACAAAAGACCCAAGATTAGTTCGACTTTGAAAAATGTAAAACAAACGCACTGAAAGAAAAGCTCACTCACAATCTCCTTGGGCTGAAGTTTGGGTCTTTGTACTTCATGATTCTGATAACTACATAGTATTCTGCCCTCCTTTCTTCTAAATATATGACAAAAGGAGGAAAACAGGAGGGAATTGTGGCAAGAAAGGATAGGACTAGGCACAAAATGCCATATATTATAATGAAGGAGAATTAAGGCTATATAGTTAGGCAATTGGCCCTTTAGAGTGATTGTTGTATGCGATAAAAATAATTCATTACAGGTCATTCCGATAATGAAGAATAGTAAAAAAAAAAAAAAAAAATCTACCTTAATTGTATTGGTTGTTCACATATGAAGGAGGTGAAACAGGCCAAAATGGAGAAATAAACTCATTCTGTCCACCATGCTTTGAAATTACTTCTTGAACATTATTAGCAGCAGAAGAGGAGAACTTTCCATCATCTGCCTGGAAGGGAATGAACTGGGAAGTCACACACCTGGTCCTGGCAAAGGGTTGAGCAGTTCTATATTAGAGGGAACATATGTTTTTTGTGTGTGGGAGGGTGGCTCCCTGGGGTAGTGTATATTGAGTGGAGAAATGGATCTGTAGGAAGTGCTTCCAGTTATGTCCATGGAAACTTAGCAGGGCTGCCAGGGGCCAAATCAATGGTGTTCTTTTTGTGCTTTTATTAAGACAAATCTTGGAAGGTTCCTGGAAAATGAAGATTATTAGGTGAATTCATTAAAATCTTGAATGAATTAAGGAATGGAATGGCTTAATTTGTAATGTGATCTTTGGGTTGTTTGCTTTTCTGTTTATAAGCTGATTTGTATGTTATGATTACTTGTTAAAAAAATTAAGGTTAAACCTATTATGTGTTATCATGTCTGATTTTCAAGACCAGCCAAGAAGATAAAAGGTCTTAAGTGTATGAAAATTCTTTCCCCTAGGGTAGTTGTTTATACTTCTCTTCTAAGAATGAGGACCCCTTTTTATAATGAGTATGTATAGTTTTAATTTTTTTAATAAAGAAAGTATATATACACAGTCACAGATACAGGGAAAAAACACAGTATAAGAAAAGATCCCATTAACACTGTATTTACAAAAACAACATCAAAAATTCCAGGAATAAATTTAATAGAAGTAATATACAGGAACTAGATAGAAAAATATAAAATGTTACTAAGTGATATAAAAGAAAATCTAAATAAGTGAATATATTTTGTCCTTTGATAAGATTCAATATTGAAAAGATATTGTTTCTTCTTAATCTATATATTACATGAAATTCCAATTGATTTCCCTTATAGTTACATTAAAATTTTGATCTAGAACAGGAGTCAGTGAAGTTTTTCTCTAAAGTATCTTAATATTTCAGGTTTTGTGGGTAACATAGTCTCCAATATAACTACATAATTCTGTCTTGTGGTAAGAAAGCAGCCACTGATAATGCTTAATGACTGTGTATTCTGATAAAAATGTATGGACACTGTGAAAAAAACAAACAAAAAACCAAAGAACAAGAACCTTTTGTGTCTGATTCACCATTGCAGTTGCAGTCTGGCAATGTGTGTGCATATATGAATATTTAAGTGAGGGAACTTTCATTCATATGCCTAGAATCAAAACAAAAATAACCTCTCCTTGCCACATAGGGGCATGAAAGACTGAATGTTATTTAATTACAATCCCATTTAAAAATTTATTTAATGACTAATTACAAAAGTGCTCCAGAAGGGGAAGTGGTAGGTAGCCACGTGGAGGGTAGAAGCTGCACTGCTCCTGGAATGCCTAGGGCTGTACCTACAGTTTAATGTGATCATTCACTGTAAGATAGGAATGAGCTTTTGCCCATCCATGTATTTTACTGGCAGAAAAACCAAGTGATGCAATGCCTGAGCCTTGAAGGGGAAAGCTTCTCAAAGGGTAAAATGCTTGTGTCCTGCAAAAGGCGGAGACAAAGGCCAAGAATCCTTGAGTTCCCAACTCCTTGCAGAAAATCTAATCTCCAGGTTTTTTTCAAGAAGGACTGGTTGTAATCTCTTAAAAATCCAAACACTGAGAGTCTACTGTGGGTCCCAGTTTGTAGTTAAATGAGCATATGTTGCTTTATATAATAGATCAGGGGTCATATTTGAATATATTGGGAGAAGCACAGGGCTTTCTGTTTGGGGTAGCCATGGCGGAGAACCAGTCCACTTTTGGAAGTATGAAGTTCAGTATTGTAGTACTAGCAGTGGGTCTTGGCTGGCTTCAGTGAATTCCAAAGTGAAAGAAACACCAAGCTGGCAGATAGGCTTCTAATGGAAATACCAGCAAGAAATCTCTGCTTTTAAGTGCTGGCTGGACTATCCCTTTGTTGCTTCTCATCAGATTCTTTAATGCATTTAATAATTTTTTTTATTTAATTGGATGTGGCCAAGTCAGTGGGTTGCATGTGGA